TCGGGTATTTTCCCTTGCTTGCAGCAACGGAACGGCCCTCGGGTTACGTCTTTTTGCCAAGACTTTCGGGCTTGTTCACCTGCTGCTGCAGCTGTGACCCCTGTTCTTCCCGCTGTCGTCCGAAAGGCGGTGAGGCCCGCTGGGCGGACAAGTTTGCGCCAGGAATTGGGACGGCAGAATTTATTTTTTAGTGGGGGCGCGAGCTTCATCGTCCTTCTCTTGCTGCAGCAAGGTCGCGAGATGCACCATACAGACTTTTGTTTCTGCAAAAAAAAGTATATTATATGATACCCTGTCGCATTTTTATGGCCTGTTATTCTTTTAAATTCTGAGCTAATCGAGGGAATATGCGACGCTGAAAAGCTCTTGAAAGGCAGGAATTGACTTTAAGAAATCAGATTGAAAACCGGCTTGCCTTGAAGATGGTCGGTATACCCCCGTCTGTCGCATTGGGTTCCTTGTTGGTTATTAACGTTTTTGAAATAGGGGAACGACGCCGCCCTTATACCGGCCGTCCAGGCCCTCGATCAAGGCGACATCGAGACGGCCCCCGAAAGGCTCGAGAGAGTATGGCAGGCATTGGCGCCGCATCGAGAAGGAACCGCACAAAAGGGCTTTCACGCCGCCGAAGAGATGCTGTTACGATGGCTCCTAAAGATGACGAATGGCACGGACAACGCCACCGAGAGGTTCCGACGGTACCCTCGCACCTGGGAGATCATGCGCATCGTATTCGACTGGATCCCTCTCTTTTCGCTGGCAAAGGCCCTCGCCGACCGCCGCTTCATAGTCATATTACAACAGACGTTGAAGGAGATCTCAAAACCGGAGAAGGGTGGTCCGGATACGAACGGGGATGTCGAGATGGTGGATGCTGATGGTCAGAAGGACCCTGATTTCGATCTTTCGCTTCAGAGACAAAAGGCCATGTGCCTCAAGACGGCTCAGGCTTTGCTCACAGCTTTAAGGGTGCTTATATCCCGCTGCGAGTCGATATCGGTAACGGAGCCACCGAGTCGACGCATGGGTGCTGAGCATGTCAAGTCGCTGTTCTATTCGTCTGCCGCCGAGGCTATGAAGCTTTTGGTGCCCATTATTGTGCTCTGCGGGATGGCGGCTGAAAATCACGAGGAGAGGGACGGCTCGCCCTTGGATCAGGCATCGTGGATGTCGACTTTTTCGTCGATATGGGAACTTCATTTGAGGGGCCCGGACGACGCCATGGAAGTCGCAAGGAGCCTTTCGGGATTTGCCGCCAACCTCCTTGGCAAGTTGACGGGGATTCCGGAGAAGAGATCTCTCTCTATTGACTCGGCCGTCCAGAGTCACTGGGCCCATGACCTCCGGCTGTTCGTTATGCGGAACATGATTCTACCATCCAGGTCGGCTTTTACCGAGAAAGAAAGTGCTGGGGCCGCACAGCAGGTCATGGAGATGGCCATTGACATGTCCAGCCTCAACTTCAAGACCTCCTTTCCTGTCCTCTTCGACCTCATTGCCAAGACACCACGAACACTCGGCCAAATGACCTCCAAGAAAGACTACGAGACTTGGGTGCAGGCCGCATTTAACGCCCTCATATCGGCCCTGAAGCCCCATGGAGTCAAGGCACTTCCCGTCGTAGAGTCCATCCTGGAGATGGCAGCAGAGCACAATGTACCACTTTCTCTTCCGACTCTTCGAGATGTATGCAAAGAATACGCCCTACAGGCGGATGGCTTTGCCTGGACGTTACTTTTCTCCACCATCAAGCTCAATCCGGATGTCTTTTTGATCTCCTCGGAGGGCCAGGAGCTCTTGGACAGGATCCTAGAGAAGACGAAGAATTCCGAGTCCATGAGCGATGAAGATTTTGACAAAGCACTTCAGTTCATCGTCTTGCTGGCAGAGCGCTACGCCAAGGCCCGTGATTTGTCTACCTTCCTCAAGACCTGGCTTCGGTATTTGGCCGTGGGCGAGAAAAAGGTCCAGCTTGAGCGGCTGTGGGCACAGCCGAAAGTGGTCTCGGCTGTGGCAGGTGTTGTCCAGGACTCGCTCAATACGAAGCAACTCGTTGACATCGTTGACTGGCTTGCTACACGCACCAGTCCAGCTGAGAAACTGGGAAGAATTCATATTCTCGCAGCCGTCGCCAGCGGAGTTTCAAGCGAGGAACTAGTCGATGCAGTTAACACGAAGACGTTCAATGCTGCATTTTCGGAGAAGTTTTCCAAGAAAGAGCCGTCGGCGATTTCTGTCTCGCGTTGGCTGATCGCCCAGAACGCGATATCCAGGGGCTCCCTCGAGGATATCGAGCAAATATGGTCTACCGTTCAATCAGATATCAAGAGCATACTCAAAAAGTCCACGATCACGAAAGAGGGAACCTTTGCGGCCTTCAAATGTGCTGTCGCGGCGTGGATTGCGAACCACCCGGGTGGTCCTCACGAAGAGGAGGCAGCCGACATGGTTTGTGCATTTATCAAGAGGCTCGACGACGATACAGAGTCTGAAAAGAGCACTCCCGAGCATCCAATCACAAAGGGCACATATGTGTCGTGGATACTCACCGACGACTGCAGACTTGTCACGCTGATTACCAAAAGAAACAAGCAGTTTCCCGATGTTGTGCTCGGCCTTCTCATGCCCAAGGATGGAGCAATCAGCAACTCTGCGACGTTTGAGGCGGCCACTGCCGTGGTCTCGCAGCTGTTGCACGACGAAAACCTGATAAACGATGTCCAAGTTGCCCAGGGCTTGATAACCAAGATGATCGAGCAGCTCGATCCATCACAGGCTTCTAAAACATTGCTAGCAAGACGGGTTGCGGTACAATTCCTCCTCGGCATCCCCGATGATATCTTTACCCGCCCAGATAGGCAAACCGTCATGGTACATCTTGTCTCCCCTTTGCCGGAAACTGAAGATTTGTCTGCCGAGGATCAGATCGAGTACTGGAAGCTGGCTCTTGCTCTGATGAGGAAGGCGATGACTCAACCGACGTTTTATACCGATATGAGCTATGACCATTTGGAAAAAATTGGCAAGCGTTTGTACAAGCTGTTTGGCCAGACAAAGGAGTGGAAGTCTAGCACTGGCGTCTTGGTTGTCCGAGATGTTTTCGTATTGTTGGGACAAATTGCTGACTTGACCATACGTCAGATGGACAGCGGCAACCCAGAAGAACGTGAGAAGACTTATCTCGAGGGAGCAGCGTCACTACTAAAGAGCTCATGTAAGGAGTCCGAGGCACTGACTAGACTAGTCCTCCTCCACGCTTTCATCGCTGCACTGCAGGGGTCTCCAAATCTTGAGAAGCTTGAAGAAGTCAGTCGTGACGTTGGGGCGCTTAAAAGCAAGCTGCTTGATGAGGTCAAGGTGATTGTGGAGCTGGGCAAATGGCGCGGAAAGGCGCTCTTGTCGCTCGTCATTGCTCTAAAGGCGACCCACGTCTTGGACCGGCAGGTTATCAGGGACACATTTACATCGGCGACGCCGGCTCTCATCAAGGCCAGCAAGAAATACTTGCAAAAGAACTCCCAGGTCGGATGGGAAATCCGCATGTTCCTAGCTCGGTGCTTTGCCGAGGAGATGGGCTCACCTCTGAAGCTCAGGTTCCTTGCTCAAGAGACAGGGGACGGAGAAGATGACGAGGAGGGCGCCGCTCCCGCCTTGGTTGACCGAGCCACGCTTTTGCGATATGTCGATGTTTTGGTGCGAGATATCGATGATGAGACCAAGATGGACTATCTTGAAGACCTGCTGGGTGAACAAAGCGGGGACCCACTCGAGGAGTCTTATCGTTTGTTCATCATTCAGACTTTGGTTCAGCATCTTGCCGGCAAGTTCCGTGCCAACCCCTTTATTATCAAGCTTGACTAATTATTTTTTGTGTCCAGTTGCCCGTGGTGCAGCGATTATCTCCAAGTCTGGGTTTGAGCTAGCCAAAGCACACACGATGCTCTGCCAAAAACTCACAGAGACTGCGGGTAAAGACCCAGAGCAGTTTGCTCTGGTAGCAGAGACACTCTACATTCTCATGGATCAAAAGAATGTCTGCATGATACAGTGGAACATTGACAATACGCTCAGCACCGTGGCTTCCATCTGCGCTGATCTGGACCAGTCACTGTCACAGAAACATGTGTCCATTGATGCCTCTGTCGTCAGACTGCTCCCCAAAACATACAAGTATCTCTGTGCGCTGGTCGAGATTATCATCAAACGACACCGGAAGCGGATAGACGGACATTTCCACCTATTAATCCCCACTCTGCAGGCTCTCCTGCGGCATCTGCTCATCCTCTCCCCCAAAGGCAAGAAATCATCGTCATCAACACCCTTGGAGGCCGCCAAGCTAGCCCACCAGCAAAGGCAACAAGAAAGAAATGCGCGGTTATACTCGCGGCTATTGACCCTAGTATGTGAACCAACCGTGGCATCGGTCTCGACAAGACGGACACAGCACAACAACAGTACCAACCCCGAAAATACCCACCAACCAAACGTCATGTTGGACGTCGACAAGGACAAGGCCAAGCGTTACGCCGGGCAATTCATGTACCTCGTGGTGATGCACTACATCCGACTGCAGCTGCAGCTTGAGCAGACGGTTGTTGTGACGGGCGAATCTCGCGAGGCGTTGGAGACGAGCATGTTTTCGATCCTGGATATCACGAGCAAACCGGACGGCTTGAGGATCTTGACGGACGCGATGGATAGTAGTGGACGGGTTATTCTGCGGGAGCTGTTGAGACGGTATGAGCGGTTTGGGAGGTGGTCTGGTGTGTGATAGATAGGGGACAAAAAAGGACCTAGGGGTAGCTACGTGCCTTGCTTTGTTGGGTAATGTGTTGATATGTTCTTGGGACATTAAGATGTGTGACGTACCTAGGTGAAGGAAGTAATGTAAAAGAAAAGGGTACTTAGAAAAGTCTAACAAGAAGAAAAAGGAATAAAAAAAGGGATAAAAAAGGGAAAGCCGTATAATATATACCCTCCATCCCATTCGTGGTATCTCTCTCTCCCGCCGGGGATTGAACCCGGGTCTCGAGCGAATTGGACTGCCCGAGAAGGGGGAATGACAAGCTCACATACTGACCACTATACTACGGAAGATTTGTTACGAATGTGGACATTCGTGGTAGAACGGTGGGTGGGGCGGAGGGCGCTGTGTTGAGTTTGTTGATGGACGGTTTGGTAAAGTGGTATATATTGCAGCTTGTACTGTACCTAACTACCTTAGAGGTACCTAGGTACCTTGACGTTCAACACCGTCCTAGACCTAATGCTTGTTTGTAGTAGTACGGTAGTTGGGAACCTCAGGTAGGTAGGTAGGTAGGGTCGCTTTGAGTCCTGACGAGTAAATCGTAGGTTGTTTTGTTATACTGACTGGTATGATTGCTACCTCCTTGCTTGATGATGCTTGCACTTTGTTTTCTGGATAGTCAATGAATGACGCCTGATAACCTCAAATTCACTATGCATGTCCTTTGGCTCCCAGAATGTCTGACTTGCGCCTTGTGTGTCTGGACTTTGTGGGGCCTTCCTGTTATGATGGTGTTTGTTCGACAAATGACTTTTGATATGGTGTTCGATGAGTGTGTGTGGTAGTGACCTCTGACGGGAATACTAAAGAGGGAGGGCGGTCATGTTTATCTGCCCCTCGAGACCCACGGTGCCACTTATCAATGTCAATGTCACATGAAAGTCAACTCCAAAAAATAAAACACAACAATAATTCCGACATCAATGTTCCCTTGGAATGGTATTCTGGTATGGTATAGCTTCCAATTTAGATTTCACTTTCGTCCTTTGAGTCCACCCGCAGAAACATATAATTCAAGAAAGGTGTGTTTGTTCCTGCTCTCCAATGCCGTCGCGCACGCCAGTGTTGGCACGCCCATCCTCGTATAGACCAAACTCGAAGAGAGACCCCGGATAATGTTTTCATCTTGTCCCGAATAGAAAGATTGGCGGCGAGGTAAGAAAAGTGGTAAAGGGGTATCGATGGTTTGATTTGCACTCCATGAGGGTAAAAAAAAAAAAAACAATTACAACAAATTAAGTACAAGAAAGAAGACATGGGAAAGTAAGTCCAGAAAAGAAAAAGAAACACCACTAAAGGAGAACCAACTTGTGGCATCTCCCAAGTGAGACAGCTAACTGCTTCCGAAAGTGAAGACGGGCAGACAAAGGAAAAGTCGGCCAGGGTAATGGTTAGTTCAAAGCAATTTCCCCAAATCTTGCTCATCTCTTTCAATCGTATTTCTGTGGTGACCGAGATACCAGTGTTCCATTTACGAGGCGGGCGCGAATGAGCAGATGAGACATTGATCGCCGGGACAGCTTTCAGCGTCATGCTATTCGGCCTGATTAATATGGTCAGCGAACCGATGAAACTGATCGGTGGCATCGTGGGGGTTGGAGTCAGAAGCAATCGTTCTGCCAGCGAGCGCGAGTGCGGTCCGATGGATCGCGGCCTGGTCACTAGGATCGAGCAGCGTGCCATCTGTGTTGGTGACAGGAACTGGATGTTCCTGCTTGCTCTCATTCGCATTACTACCTGGGCGGCTACCATGTCGATGCGAGGGAGGACCATTCTATGCTCCCCCATCGTCACCCATCATCTGCTGGCCAGGTCCTGGAACACCAGCGTTGTCCTGATTATTAATAAGCTCCTCGTACTCGGCCATATGCAGGGCCAGCTGCTTGGCGGTGATGTCGATGAGCATCAGCTGGCGGTTTGCCTTGTCGGCCTGGCGGACCTCAGTCATGGCCTTGTTCACGATTTGCTGGATCATGGGATTGTTGGTCAAAAGGCCGCCGCCGTACATGCCTCCCAAGCCGGGGTTAAGTGCGTGAGCCGGGGGAAAGCCACGGAAGGAAGCATCAGGAGGGACACTACCAGCTGCCGACGGCATCACGTTAGGAATAACTTGGGGGTTACGTGTGTCTGGAATTGTTGGTCAGTTGGCGGACTTTTCAAGTGAGTGGTTATCGGAAAACATACCGTGAAAGCTGCATCTTGCACCGCTGGCATTGAACCAGCAATTGGCACAGCTCCCACACATTTGACCATCCACAACGACACAGGCCGTCCAGGGTCCGTGGCCTTTGTGGCAGTTTTTGCAAGGCACCCTCGCTGGGGTTCCAGCAATATGAGCAAACAAAGCTTCCACATTGCTCCGTCGAGCAAGATTGAGAACCTGCTCGGGGCGTCTTTGAGACGCGTGGCGTTGACCAGGTTCACGAGCGAGTCTCTTGGCAAACGTGCTTTCGATGTTGAGTTCGGTATATCCAGACTCGTGGGCCAGGTCCTCGGTTGTTTTCACTATGGTGGGATCCATGGAGTGGTTCATTTGAGCGGGCGGCTGCTGCTGGTGGGCATGTGCTTGCTGCTGCTGTTGATGGTGATGAGCCTGTTGGACAGCCTGCTGCAGGTCCACCTGTTGTTGCATCTGTTGCTGGTCTTGGGGGGCATGCTGTGCCATGTTGACGGCTGTGAGGTCGACATGTCCCAGCCCCGAGTTGTTGGAAGGGTCTTCCTCTTCCATGTCGGCATCGGCCTCGGCCTCGCCGTGGGTATCGCCCGTCAGACCCGTCTCCATGGCGATTGCTGTGGCAGCAGCGGCAGCGGCGTAGTCTTCGGGACCGATGCGCGAGTCGTCAAAAACGCTGGAATGGCCAGTAGGATCGACCGAGTCCTCGTCGTCAGGCTTTATATCGAGGTCAGCAGAAGCGGCAGCGGCAGCGGCAGCTAGAGCTTCGTGGAGGTGTGCTTGGGGATGCCGGGGCTGCGGGGGACGGCCTCCTCTTGCTGGAGAAGAACCCGGCTTGGTCACCTTGTTAGGTCGGCCACGCGTCGGGCGGATGGCGGATTTCATGCTCGGGAGCCGAAGAAGAGGAGCTTCCGGTCAACTAGGCGCCGTTTTTGCTGGAAGCTGGTGTCGGAACGGGGACGAGGTTGTTGCGCAGCTGTCGTCAGCTGGTGGAGGATGAGAATCTCTGACTTTTGGGCGGTGTTGATGGTTTGAGGTGGCAGGAGGTGCCGCGACTGCAAAAAGCTGAATGGCGAGGGGACGCCGGCACGATCCAGCTGGTGGCAGGCTGCTGGGTGAAAAATGGGGCTGATTGTCCAATCACAGCCGTAGCTTTGCGCCAGCCTTTCCCCACACCGGGAGCCTAATTCAACGGGCAGGTGGCCAGTGCGCTGAACTCTCACCCTCAAGACAGAAAGTCATTTCAATTCATTCCTTTGCCGTTGTCCTTTTCGGCGTCATTCTTCCTCACTGAAAGTTTCCAAACTTGTGTCTGTCAGAGCTTTCACACCTTGGATCTATGTACAAAATTGGAAAGCCAAGGCCAGAAATCACGTTTTCCATTATGGCTGACCGAGGAAGGCCCAAAGCTCACAAATCAATGCAACTTTCCGATGTCGCAAACTTTTGGACTCTCGAGGTTCTCATTCATCTCACCGGCAGATCACGACTCTGCGAGATTCCAAGAGGAAGCTGACACTCCCACATACTTACAAATTACATGTCATGTCAATGTCAGGTCGGATTATACTCGGAATAAGGCAGGTCGCATCCGTCGCTGCTCTCTTGAGCCTCCAACCAACTGCCGGAACGATGGTCTGCAAAATTTAACACAATCCGGGCCTGATCTTCTAGACCTTCCCGGTCCGACCGGATTGGCGGGTCTTGCATGTCGTCGGTATTGCATTAAGGGCGTGAGAGGGCGGGCCGGAAGGGAGCTCGGTCGCGGAATAGGGCTTAGTGCGACTCGCTCACAAGTCACACACCACCACTTGACCACCGCTGCCGTTCTCCAGTTTCCTGATTCCACCATGTCACTATAGACTGCCGCCTTCTTGGACCGAAGCAGCATGTTTTGTCTGTCAGTATGGATATCTCTGTTTTCTTGGTAAAGAAAAACGACATGGTGCCGGTAGGTGGCCACGTGCTGTGCATTTCTGATTCTCTTGGCTCGTTTCTGTCTCCTTCATGTCAAGGACAGGTCAGTCCATCGCGCAGATCTTGTACCGATATATGGTGTGATGATCCTATCTGATGCCCCTTTCCATCTCGCCCCTCTTTCCATCATCTCCTATCGTTGATTGTCACGTCCAACTGTGATAAGCTTTTTCTAGCTTCTCCGTTTTCATATATTTCTTTCCTCGTCCCCTATCCCGTCACTAGTTGATATCACGGCCAACAAGATGCCAGTAACTGTGCGACCATCAGCAAAAGTTGCTGAGTCCTGGGGCAAAGGGGACATTTCGCCTGAATTGGACATTAGGTTCACACATGCCACATCGGCCGAGCAACTCCTGGCGAGCACAACCAGCAACGATGGACCAGCGAGGCAGTCTGCGTATTACCAGTCCGAAGCACGGCTTGGGAGAGGAGGAGGAAGAGGAAGAGGACCTCTAACCAGCACCTCTAGCGGGCGTGAGCCCACTACCAACAACCTCACTTCAACAAATAACAACAGAGAGATACCCCAGCTTATCCAAACATCCTTCGCCTCACTCGACCGAACCTCATCTACCACCTTTGCCTCCAAAAACGGCTTCATCCATGCCTGTATCGAGGCCTACAACGAACACCACAACCTCGTCCTCCGTCCCGAAGACATTTGGTTCGCCATCCTGACCCAACTGAGCGCGTATACCAATGCCCACGCAGACGAACTCAAAGCGCAACTCCTTAGCGACCCACCGCCAGACCCAAGTGGGCAAGCCAGACAATCCCTCCATATCGAAGCCAACATCTCCTCGCCAGACTTTGACCACGGAGCTATGGCTTACCAAATGACCAAGCTCATGTCAGACAACCTGGCTGACCCGTCCCTGCGCGAATGGATCCTCCCGGCATTTTCCACCACCACCAAAGACGACCAAGCAGTAGCAAGCATCATATTCATGGGCACGCTACAGAAATACTTCACCTACAGCTGGGGCACCAGGTGCGGGATACCGTCTGTCACATTGCTGGGCGACGTAGACGACTGGATCGAAATAGCCCAGCGATGCGCGAGCCATTTGGCTACGGGGAAATTTGGTCAGGAACCGATGGTGTGGTATACTCGGGTGCTGAGGCCTATATTAGGCG